ACGGAGTAGGCAGCTGGTTTTTCTGGCTTCTCTAAAGTACCTGTATTTGCAAATCAATGACAAGTGTGGTTTCCACCTTTGCCAACTTCTGTGCAAAACCACAGCGAATCTTCATCTTAAATGCTGGTCTGAATTTATTAGACTTCGAATTAATTTGTTTTTCTAGCCACTATTTTGTTCAATTCTGCTAACTGGGATTGGCCTTTAACCAGGGCCTTTCAGGAGTGGGGAATGTGTGTTTCATGTGATTCTTTTATGTGGGGATTATATCAATGTTGATTTAAAGTGGATAATTAAAACTAAAACTGTTCAACGAAGCTCCAGTGTATTATATAAGCACTAAGGGCCTTATAACTTGGATTTATTTTTGTAAGACCAGTGTTTGTCTAAGTAATTTGAAAATGTACTTGTGGTATTTGAAATCATTTGAAATCATTGGGTTGAGTGGAAATGAAGAATTTCTCTTTAATAGATACAAAGTGCTTATTTTAGGGTTTTTCTAAGGAATTAAGATTTTAATATGAACCTGGTCTAAACTCATTTCTTCAATTGGTTCAGCTTCTCTATACCTAAATTACAATAAATTGAGAGAATTAAAAACTACACCATGACTTGGCCGTTGTCCATATGCCACACTGTGCTTTTATATGGACTCCTTTTCCCCCCCCAAAAGTTAACTCCATTATTCACCATGTATGGGAGAAGTTGGCATGGAAGATGCCAACTACCGGAACCTTGGATTCCTGGAAAGTGTTTATTGTATTTATTAAAGTTCTTGCAAATGTAGCCAGTCATCCACGTAACAATATCACAAGGGGAGTTATAATATGTTTGAAGTAAAAATAGCAGTTCTGTGAAAGTGGAAGGCATTGTTGGATAATACAGAAGGGTTAGATGAGATGGCTTACTCATTATGTTGAGTTTTGGTTTTTTGAAAAAATAAACAATGGATATATTTTTAAAGTACATAAGTAGAAACTTGACTGAAAGACCTTCCAGAGGAAAAATAGTCCCTCCCCTTGCCACACCTGTGGAGAGCAATATTTCTGGGCTGGCAGGAGAGCTTCCAAGTGTGACTTTGGGTCCATGGATATGAGAATAGTGGGGATAGGCTGGGGACTGAATAAATGAAATAAGGTAGAAATTGCTGGAAGGCTCTTAAGGGAAATTTTTGGAATTTACATTCTGATATTTTAATTTTTCATCAACTTATTCCCATATAGGCTCTAAATTCAAAGGGTACAAAATAATTTTTTTTCCTCTGTCTCCCAAACTATTGGTGGCATTTCATGTAGACTGAGTTACTTCTGGTATATCTTTGCAGAGACTTTATGTGCTTGTATAAGCACAAACTTGTACACATACTTGTACTTGCTTTTCTATTCATGAGCCTTGAGTGTTTCACATTCGTGGAGATAGAGCAGCTACTATTCTTTTGAACAATTGCACATGTTTGTTTACTGTTGTGCGTGTGCATCAAATCATTTAACCATCTTTTATTGATGAATAACTTGCAGCTTTCTAAATAATTCTCCAGTGAATATCTCTGTGCATACTTGCAAGTATACTCAGAGGATAGAATTCAAAGTAGTCTTAGTTGATGTAGAATTGCTTCATCAAAGAGTATGTCCACTTAAGTTTCGCATTCTTTCGAGAGAATCTCTGGGCAGTAGGCTGGAGGTGTCTGCTTTCCCATATGTCAGACTTAATGATCTTTGCCAATATGATAGATGACAATGATAATTAGGGTTTTAGTTTACCCATATCTTAAGTAAGGTTGAAGATACTATGTGTTTGAGTCACTGTTTGTGTTCTTTGCCCCCTCATCTGTTGGATTCTGGTATTTCTCACTTGTAAGAGTTTCTGAGGAAATGAATATTTTGCCTAACATTAAAAATATTTTCCTAGATATGTTATCTAGCTTCTTTATGGTGTTTTTACTATCAGGACACTTATTTTTTATATTGTCAAATCTATCAGTTTTTGTGGCTTTTAGGTTTCATTTGCTAATTTAGAAAGGATTGCCATCTCTGTGTATGCATATGTAGGTCTCTGTGTTTTTATTTCCCCAGTACTCTTAGAACTTCATCCTTTTATACTTAAGTCTTTGATTTAACCATCTGTATCCTAGTTTGGCTTGAGAGAGGGAGTCACCTTTATTATTTCTTGTTTAACTCTAGATGACCCATTCAGATATCTGGGGTTTTGTTTTTCCTTCCCTGTTTTGAAATGCTTCCTTCATGTTATTCTCAACCTCCTCCTGTATTTGATTTTATGTCTAGATTTTTAAAATTCTGTCCTAACAATTTCTCTTTTTGTGCTGATAACATGCTGTTTGGTCATTCTGGCCTTAGGATGCCTCTTACAGGCTAAGTAGTTATACATGTTTCCTAACTTTTTCCTGGCTATCACTGCCCCTCTTCTCATTTGAACCTTGCAAAATCTCAGTCTCAAACAGATCCTGACTTTGAATTTACTAAAATTCGCAGATTTTTAAATATATGAAAATTACTCACATATGTTCCTTTTATTCCTAAAGAAAGAGATTTAGGTTTTAGATGCTCTCTGGTCTCAGACGCTCTCCTCTCAGTTTGAGAACATGTTCTAGCATAGTAGTTCTGACTTTAGCCCTACATGACCTCTTTATTTTTTTAACAATCTTTTAAAAAAGGTATGAGTCAAAAGTCATTCCTAAAGTTCTGTGCAAAATTACCAAGGTTCTTCCTAAAGGTTTCTTCAATTGTTAAGTGATAGCGTTGCGGCTTCTCAGTCGTATGATACCTGCAATACACCTCTCATACCTGTAGGATACACGTGAACGTCCAACACCCAACAAGATAACAGCGTAAAGCAGGCGGTATTTCTGTAGTTCCAACACATGTCACCAAATCATGGAGAGTCTAGCTGTGTCTCAAACCAAGGCCTGAACCCTGCCTTCGTGTAAGCATTTGACTCATTTGAGGCACAGGTGTGTTGTATGCTATCATAAAAGGGGCCACAACTGAGTATACAGAGAACATGGAGAAAAGAGAACACTAACGTCCTAAATCAAGCTTGAAACCTATTTCCAGCCATACTAGCCGTTAAGTATTCTATCACAGACTTTGCTTGGTACCTGTAACTTAGCAGCGCCTTGGTAGGAGGATCTAAATAGCCTGGAGCTTTATAAAGCTATTCAAAGAAGCTTGAGGCAAACTTGTATCTTCTTGGCATCAAACTTGTTCTTCTGTAGCAAGCAAGAACCCTCTAGGGTCTGCCTGGAGCCTGCTCTACTCTTGTGGTCAAGCTCCCCATTATCAGCTGAGTGGATTCCTTGTGCCTTGACTCAGATCCTAAAGGGCCACCATGATCTGGCCTGAAGAGTGGCTCATGGGGCCACTGGACACTTGCCATTTCTAGCTCGAGCTGCTTTCCTTTCCTGAGCCCCAGCTGAAAGCTAAGTTTCCTTCCTTGTTGGCTTGTGTCCCGTCCCTGGAAATGAACTCTCTCGTGGCCTTCCTGTTCACCCCAGTCAAGGGACCTTCTCTCTTCTGCCTTCATGTTACGTTTACTTCATGATGGGGAGTTCCTGGGGGCTCTTCTCTGTGTGCCTGGCAGTGCCCGGACACTGAGTGACAACCCTGGGGAATCCCTGGCACCTGGGCAAGGCCAGAAATCCATGTTGGAACCAGGGAGAATGCCCGCCGATGTGCATTCAAAAGCAGCAGCTTCCAGATAATGAAACGGCCCTGGGGTGGATTTTGTGTGTGTGGGGGGGGGGGGGGGGGGGAGTCAGAAAGAGCAGGGTGGGAAAGCTATTCTTGGTGAAATTTGAGGACAGCCCTGTGCATGGAAACACCCTGTGTTTCAGCTTTTTTCCCTCATCTAGCTAACCTTCTCCTCACAGGGGTCCACAGGCACTTTTTAACACATGTGTGTTTGTTTCTGTATATCAGGTTTGTATACATTAGGATTTCCAGGGACCTGTTGTGTGTGTCTCCTTTCTTTGAAAAGTGCGACACAGTTGAAAATTACTTTGGAAACTTTGTGGTTCTAGCAAGTGCCGTGTGAGAGGCGATGTTTGTCTCACATTACTCAGTGATAATACTTTGTTCTTTTTGCATAGTTTCAAGGTGCTCTTTTTCAAAATACAGTTGAATGATCCCACTGCCCAAAGGGTGTTTGCCATGTCCCATGCTGAGCATCCTTGGGGGAAGGATGTTTTCCAGTACATAGTTGACCTTTGATTGACCAGAAATTTTGCCCTTGAAACAACTCCTCAGATCTGTCCTGGATGATGGAAGAATTTGTTATAGGACAGGCTGCTCCCTTAAGTGAAAGGAACATGGGAATCTTGCTAAGGAAGTGTGCTTTGTTGTAGCAGAGAATGGTCAGACTCCCACTTTTTGGTGAGGCTGTAATCCAGAGTTGAGACTGTCTTTTCATGGGGTGAAGACTCTATGCATGTGGGCGTGTGTGTGTGTGTGTCTGTGTGTCTGTGTGTTCTGTGTGGGTGTTCTGTACAGTTTATATATCAACCAGTTCAAGATGTGGTTAGGAACCCAAAGCAAGAGAGGTAACTTTCACAGAAACCAGGGAAAATTAGCCAAACATGCACCTTTTTTTTTTTTTTGGTCTTACAGGCTCCTTATTAAAGACTATTGTGTTTTGTCTACTTGGGTTTACTCAGTTTGCTTTTCTTCACACAAACCTAGCACCTCCCACCCCCACACAGGCAAAACAGCAGCAGCAAAAACTAGAAACCCACACCAGACAAGGTGATGGCATCGTCCAGATTGGTACAGGATGGAGTCTGTGCATTTGTCCTCATTCCGTGTAGGTACCATTCTTGACATATTTTTTAATTCAGTTAATCCCAGTGGCTCACAACAACAGAGTCGGGTGCGATCGATTGCAGTGTCACAGGAGAAGGTTCAGACATTAATCGGTATCTGTGAGCGCTTTGAGATGCTGTGCCGTGTTAAGGTGAATCCTAACTGTTTCTCACCCCTCGCTTTCAGTTTCCCCGGCCAGAACATCCCCCCGACGATGGCCGAGGACAGCAGCAGTACCAGGGAGTGCGTGTCCTTCAGTGTGCTCAACTGGGATCAGGTCAGCCGGCTGCATGAGGTCCTGACTGAGGTCGTGCCCATCCACGGACGAGGCAACTTTCCAACCTTGGAGATAACCCTGAAGGACATCGTCCAGACCGTCCGCAGCCGGCTGGAGGAGGCAGGCATCAAAGTGCAGGACGTCCGGCTGAACGGCTCTGCAGCTGGACACGTTTTGGTCAAAGACAACGGCTTGGGTTACAAAGACCTGGACCTGATCTTCCACGTGGCTCTTCCCACCGAGGCAGAATTTCAGCTGGTCAGAGATGTGGTTCTGTGTTCCCTTCTGAACTTCCTGCCCGAGGGCGTGAACAAGCTCAAGATCAGCCCCGTCACTCTCAAGGAGGCCTATGTGCAGAAGCTGGTGAAGGTTTGCACGGACACAGACCGCTGGAGCCTGATTTCCCTCTCCAACAAGAACGGGAGGAACGTGGAGCTCAAGTTTGTCGACTCCATCCGGCGTCAGTTTGAGTTTAGTGTGGACTCTTTCCAAATCATCCTGGATTCTTTGCTTTTCTTCTACGATTGCTCCAATAACCCCATCTCTGAGCACTTCCACCCCACCGTGATCGGGGAGAGCATGTACGGGGACTTTGAGGAAGCCTTTGACCATCTGCAGAACAGACTGATCGCCACCAAGAACCCCGAAGAAATCCGAGGCGGGGGACTTCTTAAGTATAGCAACCTTCTTGTGCGGGACTTCAGGCCCACGGACCAGGAGGAAATCAAAACTCTGGAGCGTTACATGTGCTCCAGGTTTTTCATTGACTTCCCAGACATCCTCGAACAGCAAAGGAAGTTGGAGACCTACCTTCAAAACCACTTCGCTGAAGAAGAGAGAAGCAAGTATGACTACCTCATGATCCTTCGCAGGGTGGTGAACGAGAGCACCGTGTGCCTCATGGGCCACGAACGCAGGCAGACCCTGAACCTCATCTCTCTCCTGGCCTTGCGCGTGCTGGCAGAACAGAACATCATCCCCAACGCCACCAACGTCACCTGTTACTACCAGCCAGCTCCTTACGTCAGCGATGGCAACTTCAACAACTACTACATTGCCCATCCTCCAGTTACCTACAGCCAGCCTTACCCTACCTGGCTGCCCTGTAACTAACCTTGAGACCTGAGGGTTCCTGCAGTGGGAACCCTGTAGGGCAAGGGCTCTCAGGTAGGGGAGCCTCCTCCTAGATGTAGGTGTTTGGCTTTTAAAGGGGAACTCAGCTCTGATTCTGCTTTTTTTTTTTTTTTTCCTTTGTGTACCCATTGGAATGGGTCTGCAGTATATCATGAGCCAACCCTAAAAAAAAAAAAAAAAAAACCCATATAACAGTGCCACTTTGGAAAATGCTATAGGAAGTGTGACCTATCCACATCTTTCCAAGATAGACACTAACATGTCACATCCCAAAGGTCAGCACTTGGGGTTTTGAGCTCTGTGCAATACTTGGGATTGGGAGTGCTTGGGCAGCAGATGAGAAGTTTTAAGCTACTTCTTCTCAGCTGAGCCTGGAGGAGGCTATGTTGGCCCTCACTCGGGATTCTCAGCAATGACACGAACCTATGTTGTGCTGATAATCTCTCTTCTTGTGTCAGTTTTAGTCAGGCAGAAAACGATAAACATGAGGGTGCTCTTGTGACTTAATTTTTGTTCACAGGACTAAATTGCATATGTCTAGTTCCTGTCAGCAGAGCTAAGAATTTCTTTCATCAATAAACCAAAGCCAATAGCTGGAGACTTGAGATCTGGTTGGAAGTGGTTTATGGTTTAGATGCTGTGCTATCTTGAGGAATTATGAAATATTGCTGAGCAAAAAAAAAAAAGATGACCTTTTCTTGAAATGTAACTTGAAAACAAAATAAAATGTGGAACATAATGTTAAAGTAGAATTGTGGTGGTGGTGAGGGGGGTGGTGGACTGTAAATAGGAAACGTGAATGTCCTTTTTCTTTCTTTCTTTTCTTTAAGGAATTCTTATTGAATGACACTTTTCGTCCTCAGCTCTCTCGTGGATGACTTTTGTGTTGCTCCTCCTAAGTACTGTCAGTGCTGTTTCTGGACTCGTTGTTGTAACTGATGTAAGGGTTTTCCCATGTTTTAATTGGAAACCCATGTTTTTCTGGAGTACTTTGGCTATTTTTTTGTTTGTTTGTTTGTTTTCTTTACTTTTGAAAAACAAAAAAGTGATTTTCTTCTCCAGGTATTCTTTGACAGCTAATGAATTCAGGAATTTCAGTAGAATTGAGTGACCTGTGGAAGTGCTTAGATTCTAACCTGTCCCTGTGCCACACGAAGGTGGGGGTTTAGCATTAAGTCTGGCCTTGTGTGCTTTGGTGCTCTCAAGGCAGTTTGAAATCATTCCAGTGTATTTGAGGAAGCATGGGGTGAGTGAAGAATTATCTTCCTTATTCTGGTAGATTTGACCATACTTGTTTATATTCTGCACTTTAGAAGGAAAACAGTGTTAAACTCTAGTCTAAAGCAAGCTTAGTCAATGGGAGAGATCTAGCCTACATATTGCTTTCCAGAGTAGCTTTAGATTGTATGCTTTAAAAAAAATTTTGTGTGTGTGTGGGATTTTTTTAGAAAGCCTCACTTTATGGTATCAAGAGCAAAAGACAACTCAGTATTGCCTACCAGCTTGATTTCTCAAGTGATTGAATCAACCCCTTGCTCCTGATTTATATTTTCTCCTGTGGCTGTAACAATGCGATGCCCTAAATGATTGCTTTCTCCTTGCTTTAAGCAATGAAGTTATCTTTAGTGCAGAAATGCTTAGTAGAAAAACGAGTGGTTGACCTTTTTCTAAAGAGGTGTCTTCAGGTTTCTTCTGGAATGTGATCTCTTGGTCCTCTTAAGGAAGACAAGATTGACATGACTGAAACCCCAGGCTTAGCTGGGACCCATGTTGTGCTACATTAGGTGAAAAGAAGCCACTTCTTAGTGGAACCAGCTTCTGTTTTCCTGGGAACCTTAGTTATATTTGAATTCACTGGCTTCGAGTCAAGTTCTAGGAGGGGGACCGAGGACCTGGGGTGCTTCAGTGTTAAAAGGTGGGCAGCGATCCTGACTTTGAAAACTACCCGGTCATTCATGACCTTAAAATGCTGCCATTGTGGTCAGATGACAACATATTTGCACAAAACATGACAAACTTGTTTAACCAAAGCTTTTGGAGTGTGATGAAGCCGCCGCCAACATCAGCACTTGGCTGAGAGAAATCAGTATTGCTTCGGCTTAGGAGGGTCGGGAACCGGCGAGGCCCGGGAGGAAGATAGGATCTGCATCAATTAATTAAATTTCCAGTTTGTCCTTGGAGTTTTTTCTGCTTTGTATACATATTTTCCAATCTGTAACAGTCCTTCCTTGAGGACAAAGACAGGCACAGGAGTCGAGAGAAATCTCCCCCGCCCCCCGCCCAGCCCTTCATCACCATTGTATGGCGGGGTCTTGCTGGTCTTTTCACCTGACTTTTTTAGTCAGTCCAGTTGTATTTTTGTAGTTTGAAAACAGAGACATGTTGTAGAACCATCAGGGTAAAAAGCTTCATGGATCCCGGCTGTACTTTTAAAGCACAACCCCTGGACTAGCGGTGTCTCCATCTGCTCTCTGAGCCTTTTGCCAGCCAGGTAACCTTGACTTTCAGATGTCTGGAAATTCCATCTGCTTTTCATACTGCTTGCACAAGCACCGGATACCCTGAACTTAGTACTGAGTCCAGTGGTTCCTATTTGTGTGTGTGTGTGTGTGTGTGTGGAGTAACATGAAACTTAGCAGTGGCAGGGGGCACTAGAGTTCAAGAGCAAGCTCTAATCTAAATCTAAGCAGTCTTTCATTTGCCTCAGAACTCTGAACTGCTTTCTGATGCCCGTTCTCTCAGCTCCTCCTTGAAGTAAAGTGGAGCAGGGTGAAAATGTACCTTTGCCCCTGGGGACAGATGAAGGGCACTCACTAGCTCCCTGGTCTCGAGTTTCAGTCTCACTCTTGAACCTTACCTTGGCAATGAGACACTATTTCCCACTCAATAATTTCAGTGCTGAAACGAAACTCTTTTATCACTACTACCACCTTCAGATAAGAGTGCCTGATGACTGCATGTGTGATGTAGCATAGCCACACCTGGGGGCCTGGCAGGTGGGAGAGTTGGGGGGAAAGATGATGCTGGGTTCCTGATATATGGTACACGCTGGTTTGGCACTCAGTCCCCAGCCCCCCGCAGTTTGATTCACATTGGGGATTGGAGTCGCAGCAAGCTCGGTGTGAACCTGTGTTTTGTGGAGACATGTTCAAAATCAGATTGCTAAAGGCCTGGCCCTGCTTGTCCTTCAGCCTCACCTCTGCTCCTAGCCCTTGACCTTCACCGTAGGTCAGGCTTTCAACCAGCACTGCTTAGCTTCGAGAAATAGTACCACTCAACAAGCAACTTCCTAACTTTAGGAATAACTTCTTACTAGTGAACTCTCTGGTCCTGGTGCCTGGTTTTAGAATGCTACTGTGTTCTTAGCTCAAACATCCTCTTCTGGAGTGTGGCTTAAAGTACAGTGATCTAATCTGAGAAGAGACCCTGATGCTCACCACGGCCATTACTTGCTGGCATCAGATTTGGGCTCTGCACTAGGGAAGACTCTTTGGATGGATTCTGTGAGTTGGAGGAATTTCCATTTTCCAAGGTTAGATTCAGATCCTTAACCTGGCAAAGAATAGAACTTCACAGCTGACTTTGGAACATATTCTTATTTCAATCAATTGAATTCAGAGGACCAAAAGAGGGGTGTTGAAGAGAGGAATTTGAAAAATACCTGGCAACTTTTTGGGATTATTTGTGGAGATCTCTAAGGAAAGAAAGGGCCCTTTTTGTGAGTTCAGGTGCCTACATCTTGTTTACCTATCACTTTTTAAATACATATATATAGTTTAAGTGTAAGCTAAAGAAAATGCTTGGAGTTTTGCCTGGGCTATTATTGAGAGTTGGTACAAATTCTTTGTGTGTGTGTGTGTGTGTGTGTGTGTGTGTGTGCACGCGCGCACATAAGAAGGTGAGATGACCATCTACTAAAGAGGAAGTAGTTAAATAACCTGGATCTGTGGCCATTTTAAAAAACTCCAACTCGAGCTATATCTGATCTGTTGTTTTCTTTTTCTTTTTTTTTTTTTTTTGTGGATGAGAATTTAATTTTCCTAAAGCAGCATAAAAATATATCAAAATTAATGGATTAAAAGTAAGATGTCCAGCTGACTAAGTTGGAAGCCCTTTTGTTATATGTTTGCACAGCCTTGAAGTTTTTTCTTAGCTGTGCCTAGGCTGTGTCCTTTTCCTCTTTGGTCATGATCTCTCACCTTCTTGATGCAGATTGAGATCACTTGTCAATGCAAATGTGTTAGAACTTGATGAAATAAAGCTTTGAGTTTGAGAAATAAAGATATATTTAAAAAAATACTTTTGTCAGTGATGCTTATTGCTTTGTTTCTCCTCAGTGGTAAACTTATTTTAGGTTTCAGGGCACAGAAAGAAATGGGCAGTTATCACCATTATGGATGCTGCTCTCAGAGGGGAGGCATGTGTGGTTACATTGGAGGCCATAAATCCCTTTTCCAAGGGCTCCTTGAACTTAAACTGAGCTTTGTTGTGGACCTCAACCTATTAGCTAGTGGGCTTGAAATCTGCCTTCCCTGGGATCTGGTTTGATCTTGTGCTCTTGGCTCCAAGCCCATTTCAACAAGAGAACCAAATAGCCCCAGCCATAGGCAGCTACTATCGTGAGCTTCTTCACATAAATGTGAACAAGTGATATTTGAGCGGCTGGTAAATGTTTGAAGCATATGAGGAGATCCTGTAGACCTTGGGTGGGTGGTGAGCCACCTTCAGGATGCCTTTGATCCCATCTCCAGCACCTGTCTAAGACCCACCTGCCCTGTGCCTTCTGTGGCCTCCTGTGCTGAATTTCCTAACTCCTGTGGGGTTCACCAAGAAAAGTGTCTTTCGCTGTTATATCCTTCACCCTCAAGGATGAACATGCTCGAAGTCCCGGAAGGGTGGGGTCCTTCCAGATCACTACTTCAGTGTGTTTCCTCAGTAACCCTTTGTCCTGGGAAGCCTTGACCTCTGGCTTGCCCCTCTCCAGTAACTCTGAAAATGACTACCTCTGTTCTAGCCGTCTACTTGCATTGGCTAGACTGTCTGGATATAGAACTGCTCACGACTGTCTCTTTCCTCCCTCCATGATCACAGAAATGGGGATCAACTGAAGAGCCATTTTCCCATCTATGTTTGCCTGTTATCCATCATTTGTCTTGAGTACACCTCCTAAAATGGTCCTTGGTCCACCCTCTTGGTTACCTTTATCTCCTGCTTGGCCTTGATGAATCTGGTCACTTGTCTATTTTTCTGGACTCTTCCAAGGGATCTTTCTAAAACAGGTGTCCCCCTAACCCCCCCACATATCAAAACTTGCTGGAGACCTCACTGCAGGAGCCCATGTCAGGCTCCACCACATGATGTGTGCAGGCCTCTGCCACCACCTGTCTACCTTCCTATCTTTTTAAACTGCCTCCTGCTGTCAGAGCACACAGTTCTTCCTGTGCATCCCACCACACAGCAGGTTTCTAAAACCTCAGCCAAGTGTCACCACTTATCTTCTCTGGCTTGGCCTCGGCCCTTCTCCCTCCCGCTTCTTGCAGTTTTTGTAAGTGTCCTTCACCGGGTTGCATCAGTTCCTGACCTACGCTGTGAATACCTGTACGTCTCATTCTCCTCTGCCTGTCTCCCACACAACTGGCTGAGATTTGGTGCTTCAGTTCACCACTTGAACTTGGCGTTTTTGCCCCTGGAGGACTTGGTCTTAGGTCACTCACAGCTAGGAGATTGAATCCTGGATATTTACCTGGATATGTTGTAATGCCTTCTTCTGGTGCCAGAAAACTTTTCCAAGCCAGGCATTGTCCAGACCAATATTTACACGCAGAACAGCTTGCGTGGGAAGTGATGGTGCATAGTTCCTTGGAATGAGTAGTTGTGTCCAGGTCATTGTAAGGCTGTTGATCACAAGATTTGGGCCTCCTGAGCAAGGTCATTACTTAACAGCTGCAGGTTTCACCCTCCACTGTATTTCCTGACTCTCTACCACTCGATCCCCACCACACACTTGTCCTTCTGGTGTTTTAGTGGACCTTTTCCTTGGTCACCTGCACGTGTGAATTCCTTAGCACTGCCCATTGCCACCAAATAACTAGGATCTCAGAAGTGCATTTCTGAATGTGCAGGATTTTTTTTTTCCTCTTTCACTGCCCAAGGCATCCCTTAGGTGGGATGGTTACATAGGAGTTTCCCAGACAACCTCAGAGTGAAGCAAAGGCCGTGCTCCAGAACTATGGCAACGCTCTACTGACTTACCTGGTAAGTGACTTCAGCTCTGAATGCACCTATGACAGAGCCAGAGACAAGTTGAGGGTCGTGCCCAGAATGAGATGTAAAAAGGGAGCCTGATGGCCCCGTGATGAAGTGTCTGCCTCCTTCCCTCCCTAAAAGCTGAGCAGGGATTGGTGAAATCAAGTGACTTCTTGCCCCAAGTGACAACAGCAGAGATGGGCCCATAGTGCTGGTGTCTTAAGTCCTGGCTCCGTGTTTCATTCCTGTGCTACAGGCTGTGTTGCTCTTCTAGGGTCAATGCTATCTAGAAAAATGTGCTGCCCTGGCAGATGAGCCACATGCCTCTTGGCCTCTTGACTGGCATCCTTCTCTTAAACAGATTTCTGTAAGTGCTGCCAAAAATCCAGGGAGACTGGACTGTGTTGGAGGCTTGGTTTCATGCCATCCCTGACCCAGCTCACAGCAACCCAGCCCACCTGTTCTAGCCTAAACCCGGTCACAGGTGTCTCAGTTCATGGGCATTTTCCCCAAAGCAGGTCAGCTCCTATGCTGTCTTTTAGTATAGGAAGTTTCTCAAAAGGGACCTAAGGGGAAAGGCATGAGAAGCAAGGGTCATCTGAATTTTTTTAGATGTTCACCTGGGGAAGAGGTATCTGATCTTAGTGTGTGTTGAAGAAAGAGATGGAGATCGACAGCACCCTATCGACTTTGGCATGATTATTTCTAGACAATTTTAATTCATCCCTTTAACATGCATCATGGGTGAATCTTTGCTTAAGAGGTCTGTTGGAAACTAAAGTCGTGAGAGAGGGAATTTGTTGTATGCGAGTAGAGCTTTAGGGTTCACTGAGCACACATTACATTCACGTTGGCTAGTGGATCTCTGAAACCTGAGATAGGTAGCCATAGTCCCACGGGACAGATAAGGAGCCAGAAGCTCAGAACGCTTCTGAGTTGTCCAAGGTTGCACATCTCCTAAGAGGTCCCACCTGTGCACAAAGCCTGGGCACTCTTACAACCCTGAAGGCAGTCTGTAAACCCTACATTGCATGCAAATGTTTATTGTTATGCCAGGCCCCCCTTAAGGGCCTGAGAGGTGTTGAGTTGCCTGGTAATAGATCCGTTTCCACTTAGGCAGGAAAGGAATTCCTTGGACAGGCAGCAACTTTTCTCAGACAACCTTCCCTTTGTGAATCGTAGGGACCTGCTGCGGGTGCTCACATGTTTTTTTTTGGGGGGGGGTGGGCTGGGATGGGGGGAGAGTAGTCACCAAGTGCCATGTCCTGTGCTCAGTCTTAGTTTTACATTTCCCCACAATTCCGAGATGAAGAAACCAAAGTGTCAGAGGCCAGCCCCCAGCTCTGGAGCTTGACTCCAGGGCTCGGGCTCTGAGTCCCGGTACAGCTTGCTATGTGTCTCCATGCTATATTTTATATCCTGCACATGTAGAAGAGGCACAAGGGAGAAATATCTTACCTTCCAACAGGAGCCTTTGAAGAGGAATGAAGAGAAAGCCATATAGCAAATGAATAAATTGATTCATTAAAAAAAAAACAAAACCAAAACTGTAAGCCAACTAAGTTAAAACAGGGTGCCTGTTGTGTTTGACATGAAGTTTTAAGTTACCACTGACACAATCTCCTCCCCCTACTTGAACCAGGAAGCTATAGAATATAGGGTTATTTAAACTACCTGTGGGTTGGGGAGGAGATGGGGGAGTACTTTTGCAAAAGTCAGGAAACCAGCTCACCTGCAAGGCTCTGGAACCATGAAACCGAGAAGGGAGGGGGACTTCGAAAACTAACAGCAAAACCCCAAGCAGTTGCTGGGGTCAAGCACCTGTGGATTTTCATGCACTAAAAATAGTGAAAGTTGGGTTATCTTATCCTTAAATAAACACTCCAGTGAGGTAAAGACTTTGGTGAAAAGAATCTTTACATTGGCCCATGTCAGCCCAGGCTGGGCAGAGCAGCCTTGGGGCTACGAATAGCTGCCAGGAGCCACCCCTGGGATTTCAGGTCCCCAGGCCAGGCGTTCTGCAGTGGTTCTTCCCTGTTCTTAGGTCAACTCCGTGTACCTGTTGTCCCTGTGCCTTTCCTCCCCTGCCCCCAACAGGCAGGCCAGTTTCTTTGAACGTCACATGATCTGAGCGTGGACAGGAGGAGAGGCCCTTCTCTCTGCAGCCCTGACAGCACCCTTTTCAGCAGGCTTATTAATATCCGCCCTCTTGTAGATATCCCTGAAAGGAAGACGATTCTTTGCCTTTGCCTTTTGAATTTTGGATGCCACTGAATCGGGCACAGCCCCCATTCCTGTTCTGCTAGAGAGTCGCTGCTGCCCTGGGGCATGCTTGCAGCCTCTTCTCTGAGTGACAGCTGGGTACGCAGGAAAGTGCAAAAGACCCCTTCTGAGGGTGACAGTGGGACTGTGGGACAGTGAGACCAGCAGAGCCTTTGGTAACTGAGGTCCAAACCCAGCAGGTCCCCCCCCACCTGTGATCCCATAGGCTGCTCCAAGCTCATCTGACCGCTTTGGTCCTATGCAGACTCTGCTAAAACTGACTTTGGAGTTACAAAGAACTAGAAAAACAAAGTGTTTTTAAATAAAGCATCAGGACCAGTGTCCGATGGTCACAAACATATCTATTGTGACTTGATATTGTCTGCCTTCTAGGAGTTTACCTTGTTCTTGAGGAGTTCGATTCGTAAGTGGTATTCAAAAGCCCTAAGTTACATGTGTCATGAAGTCCCTGGATCTACCAGGAAGTAAAAACACTAGCTAGAATTTATTTAGAATTTATTGAGACTGATGAAGATCACTTAAGAGCATCATCTATGATGGTCAGGACAGCCCTTCTATGGAAGGTTGATAGACTCTCCTTTTACTCCCCTATGCATTGCACTTAACAGATGAGGAACCACCGCTCAGAGAGGTTGAGCAACATGCTACAGCCCCCACACAGCTGCCTGGCCTATTTCACACCCAGAGCCAAGATGGCATGAACCAGGCCCAGCTGCTGGCTTGGGGGTGCTGGCCAGTGCTGTCTTGGCAGACTGCCCCATTGCCCAT